TTCACAGTCAGGGCGGCTAGGGTCTGGAACCAACTTCCAAGAGAGGTGGTGCAGGCTCCTACCCTGGGGGTTTTTAAGATGAGGTTAGATGAACACCTTGCTGGGGTCGTTTGACTCCAGTACTCTTTCCTGCCATGGCAGGGGTCGGACTAGATGATCTGCTAAGGTCCCTTCCGACCCTAGAAACTATTAAACTATCTTCTGAGGTCCCTTCCAGCCCTAATGTCTATGAAATCTATGAAATCTAAAGCTTAAAAATGTGGAATCTAGAACTTTAGAATTCATGTAAGAGACACATTCATGAGGCTAGCTTTGGAACTAAAATTAAGACTTGACATACAAAATGCAACAAGTTACTACGTTAAGCTGGTAGACACTACATAGCAGTAGAGACTAGCCTGCTGGTACTAGAACTTTTCTGTACCATTCTTGCCTACTTTGGTTCCATGGTACTGGAATTTCTAGATCGCTGGTTCCCAGTCTCTTCTACTCCTAGGCAGATCTCACTTCTAATCTGAGCCTGACTGCTCAAATTAAATTTGGGGCTTACAACTCCTAGTTTAGGAACCACTGACCTGGATCCTGAACAGACATTCCATGAGACATGCAGACTGTTTGGTGTCCAGTTTTTGATGCTCTGGTGTAAGATTTTTTTGCAAGCTGTGTCCCTCCACTGATTTGTAGCAAAGAGCCCCTGGATAAATTTGGCATCTGTTGACTTAATCCTGTACCTTTGTCATAAGTCTTACTGAAACAATAGAGATGATATAACTATACTGTAGCATTAGGGAGGGACACAAAAGATATCCTTGATGTTGATAAATGAAATGTTTCCACTTGACTCTCCCATTTAGAAATCCTTCATCCATTATTTAAGCTCATGAGGGCACCAACAGTCGGATAATGGCTTACTTGCCTTGAGACAGGAAATGCCATTGGCAAAAGGAAGCTGGTTCTTTGCAGATTCCTGTGTTGTGATTCCAGCTTTAAGCCAAAACATTTTTTTTCTGCTTGGCAGGCTAGCTGAAGTTGAAGTTCAGTGACCTTTCTCTGAAACTTGTAAGAACTGTGAAGTCAGAAATGACAAATCAGCTTGTCAGTAGAGAAAATGTTAATTCTAACTGGGAAACAGTTGTCTGATTCACATGCCAGCCAAATGTCAAAGAGATCGGTTTGCCTTCAGAACAAGGCAAATCTTTAGCAATCTATATAAACTAGTTTATTCATGGAAAAACATTATCTTTTATTGAAACAAGTGTTTTACCATAACCAGACTTTTTTCCTTCTAGTATCTTGCCCCTGAAGTGATCAGAAAGCAGCCGTATGACAACACAGTAGACTGGTGGTGCCTTGGGGCAGTTCTTTATGAAATGCTTTATGGGTTGGTATGTATTTACTATTCCCCCATTCAACTTATATCCACAGTTAATGACACAATTTCAAAGTTTTTAAAAATGTGCCTTCACTAATGAATAACTTTGCACCAGTTTGCCTTTTGAATTTTGTTTTGCCTTTTGTTATCTAAATTTCAGTCCTCCAGCAAACTGTGCCATTAATAACCCTGACTTGGTGGGGACCAGCAGTCATCATCCAAGGGATATCATGAGTCAGTTAAATCAGCAGTGCTGCCCAGTAACACATGCTAAACTAAACATTTTTGCTAGATGTCGGTGCCAAAAACAGTCAAGTATTCTTTTGTGAACATTTCCAATAGTACCCTTGATTCTTCTTATTTCTTGTATTTCAAGAAAGCAATCTTGTTTCAGGTTGGGTTTATTTTCTGTAACTGCTTGTACAACAGCTTGTTCTGTAGATCTCCTTTCCTCTACATTTCCTTTCAAAATGCAAACTAGGATCCTATTCCTATATGAAGACTTATACCAATGTTGGGACAGCTTAATTCACCCATGTATGTGCTCCCTTGGGCAAGCTCAATTAAGAGTATTAAGTGTAGGTAGGGTCTACAGTGCTTGGGTGATAGTTGCTGGGCAAAGCATATAAGGTTCCAGAAAGAGCCAACAGAGAATTGGTCTCTGTATGTTCTATATCTCAGGTGGAGTAAAGGATTTAGCAGGGAATGGGACAGGCATATTTTAAGTTGAAAAGAATAGCATCTACTGACTCTGTCCACAGAGCAGCCAACAATAGGATGGGGCAGTTTCTTACTGCCAACAGATTGTTTTTCTGACAATATAATTTTTTACCCAATCATCTGAAACTAATGTACTGAATAGCATGACTTCCTAACCACATTTGTCTTCTGTTGTTTTTGTACAGCCACCTTTTTACTGCCGTGATGTTGCTGAGATGTATGAAAATATTCTTCACAAACCCTTAAATTTGCGCCCGGGAATCAGCCTGACAGCCTGGTCTATTTTAGAAGACCTCTTGGAGAAGGACCGACAAAATAGACTTGGAGCAAGAGAAGACTTTGTATGTAATGGCTTGGCAATACATTTTTCTGGCACTGCTTTATTAAAAGGACACCCTCAGGTTTAGATTTGCAACTCGGCTTTACATGTAGGAGACAAGAGGAGAGAGCTGCTTTGAAAAAATACCTGTTATCACCCAAAAACCCTGAAGGAGAAGAGTGCAGAAACAGTTTGTTGTGGAACTTAATGTTCAGAGCTTGGCTTTGTTAGTACCTGTCAGCAAAGGAAACTCATTTCCTAGCATATTATTCCCTTAGTTGGACTGATGTAACTGCTATCTCTGCTAAAACAGGAAAATAAGCAAAACAAAAATAGTTATTGCTCTGGTAATGTCAGCTTCATTGACATGAAAAAATGCCACATTTTTTAAATGGGGGAAGGTGGACCAATAGTATGGAAGCAGAGTTGATTTTTTTTTCAGGCTTTTAAAATGGCATTAGAATAGCAGAAAGCATTTTTGGAAACTTGCCAGTGTTCCTTGTTAAGTTTGAAGAGGCTTAGAGAAGTTCTGAATTGTCACGGGATGGTGCTTTCTCCTTTTGCGTTTCTAGGTTTGGCTAGTCCAACATGAGATTCCATAGGCCAGCACAGAAGTTCAGCTAAACTGCTGCAGCACCATTATTACATTTTTGCAGCATGAAGTAAATGAAGAGGCAATGATGTTTGGGAGGCATAGTGTTTACTGCTTCAGGTATAAACAGAGGGTGTACTGCAGAGTCCTCTTGAGAGAGTGCCCTATATTAGCAAGTTTTGTTAACTGGAAGCAGGAGCATAAATGCTATTTTAAAAACCACCTTGACATGTGGTTTGCTTCAGATCTCAATTTATATTCTTAAGCTGAAGAATTATTTTCTCAGATAAGTATGATCATAAGAATGAATCATAGAAAGTATCATAAGAATGATGCCATATTGGGTCAGACCATAGTATCTTGTCTCTCTTGTCCCATCCATATCTGTTTTCTTATTTGTTCCCTGGAATTTTTTGTGCTCCTGTGGTCTCCCTCACTGAGGGAGGTTTAGTTTTCTTGGTGGGTGTAGGCCTACCACTACACACACACAAAATAGGCCTGTATCTCAGTGGCACAGAACAGATGTGAATGAGAAGAGACCTTATGCAGGAGAAGGGGACACATCAAACTGGTTACACCCTTTTTCCCTCCTTACAACTTCCACTATTTAGAAGACTAAGAATTCCTAATGTGAAGGTTGCAGTCCTCCTGTCATGCTTAATATATGTCTGATGGACCTATCGTGCATGAATTTATCTAATTTCCTTTTGAGCCTTAGTTGTTAGCTTCTACAACATCTAACTGCAATGAGTTCCATAAGTTAATTACATGCTGTGTGATCTGATACAGAAACAAGGCAACACACAAAAAAATAAGCCCAATGTGCCAATAGTTCGTTTTATTATTCCTCTTAGAAGGTATGGCTAAAACTAGATAGGGAAACATCTTTGGATAGGCAGGCCAGGATATTTGAATCTGGTATAGTGGAAGGATCTCTGAAACAACTAAAAGCTTATCTTTGGTTCTTTATTGCAGCTTGAAATTCAAAGGCATCCTTTCTTTGAATCTCTCAGCTGGACTGACCTTCTTCAGAAAAAGATTCCCCCACCATTTAATCCTAATGTGGTAGGTGCCATTTGTCTTTTGAGATTATTCTTCTAAAATCTCTCTGTTTCAATAGCACCACTCAGTGGGAAGAGAAGAACTGTACCTCACTGTGGCAGATAACAGCAACCCCAGAGGACTCAGTGTTGCTGACCGTTTGAGTTGCTTTAGTATAGGGGCTCTTAAGCCAGGAGAGCTGAGAAACCATTTTCTCATTGAAAAGTCACAGGCAGCAACATGCCAGTAGCAAGCCGGCTGTTCTGTTGTCATAGCAGTGCATCCACTTGTGATAAAATTGAAATTTGGGGTGCACCAATACAGCTTTTGGGGGCTGATACCAATAGCCGATATTTAAGGAGGCATA